TGGGTACTTCTGAAGTATCAGATCAATGCTTTTTCAGACCCCTCAGAGGCATAACCACCTCATGGGAGCACATAGCGTATTATCTCTATGCCACCTCTACACTGTAAATGCTAAATGTTAACTACTGTGTGCACACCGAGGTAAAAGAAGCATGCATCTCTCCATTTCCCTTTTTATCCAGTCAGGTTTCCCAGCTCTGCTTTCCCTGCCTCCTACTCTGCCACCAATGGATTTCATGTCATCATCCTAATGTTCCCTCCTTTGATTCCCAATGCACAAAAGGAACTGCAAAACGGCCATGCCCACAGCATATTCTCAATCCGCGTTTCCTCGGTCCTGCTTCTGGGCACGTCCTTGGTTTGGCTCTAATAAACTCCTGTAATATTTCTACTGGGCTGGAAGTTCGTACTCGGACACCACCTCCCTGTGATAAGCAGTTAACAGTTACCAACACGGCCTGTTCCTGTGTGGGAGGCTCTCCTGCTCTCACTCACCCACACACACACCTTCAGAGCCTCGTTTTTCCAGATAGCAATAACATGTGAGGGGTCTCGAGACCTCACTCCTAAGCCCTAGAGACATGTGGCTAAAGTCAAAAGGGCAGACAGACCGAAGAAGATCCCACATGCGGTTGAGGATCTCTGCTCCCAAAAGCAGACCGTTCCTCAGAGACCCCACTACACACACACAGAGCTACTCCACCAGAAGAGCCCTGGGATCCTGGGAAGTCAAAGGGGAAAAAGTTTCTCCATGGATGAGTTGGCATGTGCTGCAGCCGTGTGGGTGTGCCTGGCTCTACCCTCCCCAACACCCAGCACATTCCTGCCCGCCACTCCCTGTCTAGCAGGCCTAATCAGAGCCATCAGCCCGCTCATCGGCCAAGCAAGCACTCTACCTGGGAAAGGAGAAGGCATTGCTCATGAGTAAGCATGTATGAGAAACCGCCAAAGGGTGTCAAAGTTCCTGAGAAACAGTATCTAGAAAAAGTAGATTCTGCGCAACTGGAAACTGGCTCTTAGGAACTAACCATCCCAAAGAATGGGCAGAAAGACAGACAGACCCACAGGGAAACTGCAACCAACATGTTTTGCCTAGAGCCACAGATTACTTTGCATTGTTCATGATTTCTGGGGAGACAGAAGTGACTTGTATGTCCATTTCTACCTTCCTCCTCAGTAAAACACCACACTGCGGGAGAGTTTCTTAGCATGGAGGCCACGTGTCAAGGGCTTAATAAGAGACAGAAGCCCAGCCAGTGTTGCTCAGGGTTTGAGCATCAACCTATGAACCAGGAGGTCATGGTTCAATTCCCGGTCAGGGCACATGCTGGGGTTGTGGGCTCCATCCCAAATGGGAGGCATGCAGGGGGCAGCCGATCAATGATTCTCTTTCATCATTGATGTTTCTGTCTCTCTCCCCCTCTCCCGTTTTCCCTGGAATCAATAAGAAAATATATATACATGTATTTTTTAAAAGTTTCTAGTCAAGCACCCTTGGAAAAAAATAAGAGAGACAGCAGTGCTCTGAGAGGACACTGGCCCAGCTGGTTTGGCTCAGTGGATAAAGCATCGGCTTGCGAGCTGAAGGGCCCAGGGTTCGATTCCGGTCAAGGGCACATGTCCAGGTTGCGGGCTTGATCCCCAGTGAGGGGCGTGCAGGAGGCAGCCGATCAATGATTCTCTCTCATCATTGGTGTATCTCTCTCTCTCCCTTCCTCTCTGAAATCAATAAAAATATATTTTAAAAAAAAGGTGGGGGGGGGGGCGGAGAGACACTGGGAAGAAAATACCACTGGCTCCTCCAAAGCAGAAAAGGAGAGAGCACTGAATCAGCCTTACTGTGGCCCAGCAGTTAAGACTGTTAAGAGAAATAGGAATGCAAGAAGTAAAAGAGGAAAACCACTGAAGGGAGAAGAAAAGGGATACTGACACGGGCGTGATGTAGCGTGTAGATGACACACAGCTGGGTTCAAACTGTGCTCAGTCTATTTCTGAGCTACATAAACTTGAGCAAGTTATTATTCTCAAAGCCTTGGATTCGTCACATGTACAACAAGCGTGATACCCACAGACCAAGAAGACTAGGCATGGCAGTACAAGCTCAAAGGTAGCTTTGTATGTTATATAACAACCACAAACTCTACCAGCAAGATCACAACACCCAGCCCTCAGGGAAGGGCAGAGGCAACCCCACAACACCCACAGCCCCCCCACCTGCTGCCATGAGGAAGGAGTAGGCAGGTCTGCTCAGCCCCAGAAGTGACTTGCTTCCAGGCAGCAAGTTCCCTGAGATCCATTTATTTTTTAAAAAAATATTTTTATTGATTTCCGAGAAGAAGAGAGAGGGAGAGAGATAGAAACATCAATGATGAGAGAATCATTGATCGGCTGCCTCCAGCACACCTCCTACTGGGAACTGAGCCCGAAACCTGGGCATGTGCCCTTGACTGGAATCGAACCAGGGACCTCTCAGTCCACAGGCTGACGCTCTATCCACTGAGCCAAACCGGCTAGGGCCACGTGGCTTTTAGAAAAAAGTGCGTTAAAGTTCTGGTCATTGTTTGCAAGCCCAAAGGACACGAAACCAAAGGCGTTAGTGTCCAGTACGTGCAAGATTCAAAAGCATGCACGCTAGTAAAAGGTTAGTGTTTCTTTGATGTTACAAGCTCTACTGGGACTTCAGCTTGTCCAGGAGCTGGCTGCTTTCACCAGTCCCCAACTTGCAGCTGCACGCCCATGCCCCACGTGGCTCACGTGGCACCTCCAACCCCTCCACACTCCGATGTCTCTGGCTCTGCTAATTCCGAAGCCAAGATTCCCTGTTTGTGTGGCACATGCTGCTTTCAGCCTGGAATGCTCTTTCCTTTTACACCCATTTGACTCCTACTGACCTTCCAGACCCAACTCTAGTGTCACCCCCTCCACGAAGCTCCCCTGATGTCTCCACAGAGGACATACAATCTTACCTGACATTTTGTTTTTTCACCTTACTGTCTCCCTGTCTAGTCTATGAGCTTCCAGAAAGCCAGTCTCTGACACAGAGCAGTGACCTATTTCCATTTCTACTTCCTCCTCCACAACTGTGAGAAACATGGTTTGAGTGAGAGACTGCCCCTTAAGGGCAGTATCTTCTTACCCTTCCATCCCTGGAACACCCACATCTACTTTTTTCTTAAAAAGCAGCTTTTGACTAAGCATCTGTGTCTTAGTCTTTGGAGCTCAGTGAGGCAAGAGTGGAACAATCCTTTCAGATTCCAGGACTTAATCCTCCCAAAGAGCCAGCTAAACACACAAAGGCACACAAACGGACCAAAGCTGCAAAATACACATGCACACAAGCCAAGATAGGCCCCTACTATCTTGGGCTTCGCCTGCTGGCTTCCTAGCCTTCCAGGGCGGTGAGAGGCGCTGGGTTCCTGTCCCTCTGGAAAGCCCTGATAGTCCCTACTGCACCGCTGGGCTCATTGCAGGCAGGGGGGCCATCCCCGGGCATAGCTACCCACTATGCTTACAGATGTGGCTGCTGCAAAGTACTCCTGAGGTCGTAGCTTCAGATAGTTTACGAGAGCACTTCCCAAGCGTGGTCCACAGCACGCTAATGCACCCCGTTCCACTACATCAGCGGTTCTCAACCTGTGGGTCGCGACCCCTTTGGCGGTCCAACGACCCTTTCACAGGGGTCGCCTAAGACCATCCTGCCTATCAGATATTTACATTACGATTCATAACAGTAGCAACATTACAGTTATGAAGTAGCAACGAAAATAATTTTATGGTTGGGTCACAACATGAGGAACTGTATTAAAAGGGCCAGAAGGTTGAGAACCACTGCACTACATGCTTCAGACCCTCCACTGGAGCACAGGAGCACAGCAAAGACTTTGAGCAGCAAGGGCTGCTGTAAAGACACTAGTTTCACTGTACTTAACGCAGCCTTTCACAAGCTAGTCTGAAGAAACCCTTCCTCTATGTAACAGTTTTTAAAGTCCCGAGGATCACTCTTTGGGAAGAATCTCATTCATCCTGATAGTTTCCCACTCCCGCCCCAAAGAACTGCTAGGGGAACAATATTAAGAGACTGTTACTGCCCTGGCCAGGTAGTTCAGTTGGTTGGAGCGTCACCCCGTACACCGAAAGGTTTCGGGTTCAATTCCCGATTAGGAAACATACCCAGGTTGCAGGTTCGACCCCCCGTCGGGTGAGTACAGGAGACAACCGATTGATGTTTCTCTCTCAAATCAATAAAACAGACAGACACACACACAGAGACTGTTATTAATATTAACCTAAGACCAGAACCAAACCGAATTCCAAACTGAAACTATTAGCACTCCACGGTAATAGAAAGCTTTGCCTCCACCTAGGCCATTAGTAGAGAAGTATTAGGTGTCTTGGGTGTAGGGAGAGCAGTAGCAAAATTCACTGCAGGGTATGTCTGGATCCCAGCACAGTCCTTGGATCCACACCACTCCTTACCCAGATTTATGTAGAGCAACTCCTAGCAGGGAAAATAAAATGGATCCACGGGCCGTCTGCTGGCACAACTGAAAACAGAGGAGAAGCTGAGAGACTGAAACAGAAGAGAAGAAGTGGCAAAGGGAGCAGAGCTGACTCTGAGAAGCGTGTGGTAAGGAGCCAATCTCTGCTGGGCAGAGGGCGGGAGGGTGGAGCCAGCACAGCAGAGAACACCCAAGGAAGACTAATTCCTCGGAGAGCCCCGAGAGCCCAGCTACTTCCTGTCAACCTCTAAACAGGTTCTCTCCACAACCAGTGAAACTCTCCGTGGGAAGAGAAAGGATAGTTTTTCAGCCCCGGTTGGGGAACACCAGCTCCGTGCACAGATGACCCCACTCCAAGAGACGTGCCACCGGATGGCTAACGGAGCACAGCCCTTTCCCTCGACCGGACTCGGGGCACCACAAGTCACAGCCACCACTTACTTTTCAGATGGTGAAAGACCTTCACAGGGTGGGCATCACGGGCATGGCCGGGCCAAAAAGACCAAAGGTATGTCAGGTCTCCTGGGTCCTGTCTCCGATGGAAGTTGGCTACCCGTTGTGTTAACTCCACCAACCCCAACTTTGGAAAGAAAAAGGGACATGTCAACAGACAGCAAACAAACAAACAAAAACAAAACTGGTACGCAGAGCATGTCTAATAGGATATAGAGCTCAACAAACTCATCCCTGGGGGAAGCTGACTCACGGAGGGAAGCTTGCTTACTCACTGGGGTACGGGGTGACAGGGGAAGGGCCCCAAGGAAAAACACAACAGCGGGTGTGGGGCCAATCCTGGGTGTGTACAACACACACTTGGCGTGTGCTGGCCCGACTGTCAGCCAGGTGCTGGGGAGAAGGGGGGGTGCGGGTAGAGGCACATCGGAGTGGGGAGAGGAGCCGAGGACCGGGCTTGGGGCGTGGAACTGAGGGCGAGAGATGGGAGGGCAGGGATGAGGAGCAGAAGGGGACTCCGTGAAAACCTGTGTGTGCCAGATGCTGTAAAATGTCCTCAATGCTCAGCCCTGCGGTGCAGAGGCTCGGGGCACTTAAAACACGTATAGACGCTGGCGGAGCGGCCACGCTGAGGACGGAGATGCCCCCTCCCTTCCACTCCCGAGCTCACTTGCCTTCAATTATGTGAGAAGGGCCATCACCGGAGCCCTTTCCGGGAGGAGGGAGCGAGAGAAGATAGAGAAATGGAAGAAACAGGGCAACGAAGGATTGCAGGAGAGGGGGGTGGGCAGGTTTGGGCTCCGTGCACCCAAACGGCTCGTTATTCGGCATTTTCTGTGTGCCTTCTTGTAAAAAAACAGTCCCTGCCCTCCAGGGGCTTAGCGTGGGGGTTACAGTCAAACAAGTAAACAGACCCGTGTGCGAGGGTAGGAGGTGCCCAGGGGAGGCAGGGAGGGCGCTCCGCGTGCTGAGCGAATGCGGGCTGAGACAAAGGGCCACATACGAGGAGGAGGCCGGGCAGCGGGGAGAAATGTGGCCGGGAAGCCCGGGCAGGCGGGGGCGACGAGGAGTGTCGGGGGACCCCACCCCGAGTCCCGCCCCTCTCCTCGGGGCCAAGGCGGGCCCAGCGGTGAGACCGGGGCGTGGGGACGCCGGCCCGCCCGCCCGGATCCGGACCCTCGGGGCCCCCAGCATCCCACCCCAGGGCCCCAAACATTCCCCCCGGGGCTGCGCCAAACTCGCCGGGTGGGGCCGGACCCACCCGTCCCCACCCGTCCCCACCACCCGGCGCGCTCGCCCTCTCACCTTCACCTTCCCGGCCTCACGGCGGCCATCATGCCCCCAACGTCACCAGCAAGCGCCAGCCCGAGGGGAGGCGGGAGGAGGAGGGAGGACGCGCGTGTCACCAGCCGCCGCAGGTTGGCCGCTCTGGCCCGGGTGAGTCGTTGGACTCCAAGCTCAGCTGATTGGACCCCCCCCCACCCCTCTTTAGGGGTCAGGGGTGCGTCTGCTCAGCGCCTGGAGAGGCATCTCCGCGCGCTCCTTCGCCGCCCGGGCGTCCCAAGCCGATGACGTAGGCCTCGGGACTCCCGCTGCATTCTGGGGGCTGTAGTTCCGCCGGGAGCCTGTCTGGGCTGGGGTGGGCGGGGCCTCCAGCTGTCAAGGGGCAAAGAAAACAAGGGCGTGGACGGAGGTTCCCGCTCTTTTGCTTGGTGGCCGCGGGCCTGATCCCGAGGGCTCTGCTAACTCAGGAATCTAACCTTTCGTTTGTAATATTAGAGACGCGCTCTCCAGAGGAAAACAGGAAGCAAGTTGGGGCCGGATGCCCTTCGACTGACTTTGAGAAGTAAGAACAGTAACAACAGTCACCGAGCTGGTACTTAACATACCTCATTTCATTTAACCTTCACAACAGTTTCAGGAGTCTCAGAGAGATCACCCCAGCTCACGTGCGCAGATCACCGGGCCTCATTATGTGCCAGGCACTAGGACACAGCAATAAACAGGTCTCCTGATGGCCACAGTCACAGAAGGGAAGGCCCCAAGTCTGGGCTCCCCAGTATGGCAGCCACCAGTCACATGTGCCCTCGGAGCTCCTAGATGTGCTGTAAGACTTAGGACCAAAAAAGTATGTAAATGATCTCACTGATATCTTTGCATTGATTGTGTGTTAAAGTTGTGAACTTAAAAAGGGGGGTTCTAGGCAAAGTAACCTCAACAGGTGATCTGAGCATAAATTCCTAACTGGGTAGGTGATGGTGGGTAGTCACACCCCAGGCATACAACTTCTTTACTAAAAGGCTTATCTTTGCCTTAGGCAAGCCCTGTCTATGGTTTCTGTCCTTCTAGGTTAACACACCTTTGAAATGCCCCCTTTCAGACCCCTCCAGACAGCACATAATCTTAACTATTCTGTAATCCCCTTCCCAAATGGCTTCCTCCCACCTTCATGTAACCTTCCTGACATTCCCTCCTTAATTTCAAACACATAAAAGCTGCCAAACTGTTACTCTCTGGGCCATTTGAGATCTTGCTCCCTGGCATAAGTCATCAGTTTGGCTCAAATACTCATAAAAATTCTCTACAGGGGGGTCGATGGGGGGAAAATGTCATACTTTCAACAATAAAGATTTTTTTTAAAAAAAATTCTCTACAGGTTTGGACATTTCCCGTGTAGACAAAGTGATAATATTTTGGATAAATTGAATTAAGTGAAATATATACCACAATTAAGTTCATCTGTTTCTTTTTACTGTTTAAAATATGGCTACTGCCCTAGCCGGTTTTGCTCAGTGGATAGAGCATTGGCCTGGGGACTGAAGGGTCCTAGGTTCGATTCCAGTCAAGGGCACATGCCCAGGTTGCGGGCTCAATCCCCAGAAGGGGGCATGCAGGAGGCAGCCAATCAATGATTCTCTTCCATCATTAATGTTTCTATCTCTCTCTCCCTCTCCCTTCCTCTCTGAAATCAATAAAGAAATATATTTTAAAAATAAGTAAAAAAATTTTTAAAAACCAGCTTTATTATAAATAGAAAAAAAGCTTTAAAATATGGCTACTAAAAAATCTAAAATTACGTAAGTGTCTCTGTTATGCCCAGATTTCAAGATTCCCAAGAAACCACATCAGGAGCCAGCCAATCCGATGCAAAAGCATAAGAATCTGTATTCGAGCTAGCTCGGCTCCCCCACCTTGCCGACGCAGCGACAGGAAGCA